AATTGTGACCTCTATCCTCACAGTTAGCAAAATTAATTGCTTAGATATGACATTATGAGGGTTACCTGTGAAAATTAGAAATAGGCAGATCAGTCCAACTGTTCCCAAAATATAAAAATAAAAACTGTGTTTGGCTTTTCTTTGTATACGGTGTTTTCACAGCGTAGCAGTATACAAATTCCGTGTTCCATTCAGAATCAAACAGCTGAAACTGGCAGTGGGGACAGGAGGGTGGGGGGCATGTTCCTACAATTATGTTAAAATCCAAAGAACGAAGAGCATGTACTTAGCTATTCAGCATTTTTCACCATAACTGTCACAATTCCGGCAAGACAAAAGATCACATTCTGGCAGTGGAAGAATTAGACGCCTGAAGTGCGGCTGTAGCATATTAGCACTGGCCTCGGAAATACTCATTCATTGGCTCATCCACTCACTCACTAATTTTAAAATCCCTTCTATATGTATTTACCAAAGTAGGTTTTGGGGATGTGGTAGGAACTAGATAGATATGTTTCTTGCTGTCCCAGAAAGCCCACCTCAAGTCATCTCATTCCAGGACCTCAAGCTCCCCAAGCTGTTTTTTTTTTTTTTTCAAACAAAGAGCTACCCCCATCTCCTCAGCTTCAATAAACAAACACACATTAGACTGTCTCTGCTTGGGAATAATTTATTCCAAGTGTTTATCTGTCATAGGTCTAAGATCTGCCTTTCTCTGTCCCAAGATGCAGGCTACTAAATGCCATCAGATCATCTATCTTATAATCACAAGAGCAGCCTAGCCCTTGTCACTGTGGTGGGGACAAAGTCACTCATGGGGACAGGTCAGAGTCCCAGTTCTGCTGTGTCTTGTATAGCATCACACACTGGAAAAGGGTGTATGCTTTGATATGCTTTGAGGCCCTTTAAAGCACTCACTTATCTGTAGCCTTCACCTTTGCTTCTATATGGTTTATTTTATGAACTTAAAGTACATCCGGTGTTTACGTTTCTTACAGTCCGTCCTGGCAGCTTTAGCACTGGGAAACTTAAAGGGAATGCTGATGCAGTTTGCTGAAATAGGCAGATTGTGGCGAAAGGATAAATATGATTGTGTAAGTAGAATATTTGAAAGAGAGATAAATCACAATCGCATTTTAATGCTAATGTGAAATGCATGTTTATATTGTAAACTAAGTGAAATTTTATTTCTATATATCCATTCAAAATAATCTTTGTTTTATTTGCTATTATTAAATTGCATACTCTAATGATCATTTTCTGGGACTTTAATTTCTTAAAATGGGCTACTTCTAATTTTAAAAGACTGGGCTCCATGAAACACTAGTGTAGAACTTCCTTAGACCTGTTCTAAAAGTTCTTGCAGTAATCACAAATATCATAGAAACTCTCTGAATTTTAGGGTATGCATGGCTTCTGTTCTTCATTACATAATGTGTTTGTTTTCATGAATCTGTGAAGAACTTAATTTCTGAGCATTCCTTTTGGAAATACTCTCATTTGGAAAGGCTCCACCTTGCTCTCACGTTTTGCTATTTTAACAGAGTCAAAGTCTGTTGTGTAAAAATGCTTGTTAACACACTCATAGGTATTTAAAGATCATAACTAGTAATTTACACTTGGTTTACTTTTGTGGGGCATTTTAACACACTTTTGGCATGCTAAAATTCTTATTAAGATAGCGACCATTAATTACATCTGCGGACCAAAAATAAGACATTCTTTTTTTTTTTTTTTGAGACAGAGTCTTGCCCTGTCACCCAGCCTGGAGTGCAATGGTGTGATCTCAGGTCACTGCAACCTCTGCCTTCTGGGTTCAAGCAATTCACCTGCTTCAGCCTCCTGAGTAGCTGGGATTACAGGCACATGCCACCGCACCCAGCTAATTTTTTGTATCTTTTGTAGAGACAGGGTTTCACCACGTTGGCCAGTCTGGTCTTGAGCTACTGACCTCATGATCTGCCCACCTCGGTCTCCCAAAGTGATGGGATTACAGGCATGAGACACCGCACCCAGCCTCTTTTTTTTTTTTTTGAGATAGGATCTCTGTCTGTCACCCAGCCTGGAGTGCAGTGATACCATCCTAGCTCACTGTAAGCTCAAACCCCTGGGCTCAAGCGATCCCCCTACCCCAACCTCCTGAGTAGCTGTGACTACAGTCACACTCTACCATCCTCAACTAATTTTTTTTAGTTTTGCAGAAACAGATTCTCACTATGTTGCCCAGGCTGGTCTTGAACTCCTTGCCTTGAGTGATCCTCCCACCTCAACTTCCCCAAGTACTGGCATTACGGGTGTGAGCCTTCATGCTCAGCCTAACTTGCCAGTTTTAATGTATTTTAATAGTACATTAAATAGTACTTGCTGATTTTAATGTACTATTAAAATAAATTAAAATTAGCTTGTTCTAGTAGGTTGGTGCAAAAGTAATTGCGGTTTTTGCAGTTATAATTATCACTGTGACAGACAATCCCATTTCCTAAATGGGTTGGAGATGAGATTAGAAATGAATATACTTTCTTTGAATCATCTTATATTTGCTTTTCTTTTTGTGGCCCAGAACCTGAGCCAGCAGAAATGACTTCTTGACACAAGTGTCTTCTGTGCACTTTGCTCCTTACCCCAAAATGCCAACTTCCAATTTCCAGCACGCCTAGCAAATTTTTTAATTTTTTATTTTATTTATTTATTTATTTATTTTGTGGAGACAGAGTCTTTCTGTCTCTACAAAAAAAAGAAAGAAAAAAAAGTTTTTTTAAAGATCCTTCTCAACATTGTACTTGAATCAAAGTCAATCATAAGTGTGTGTGTTGCTTTCTTTCCACAGGTGATTTGGATCATGACCTTCATCTTCACCATTGTCCTGGGACTCGGGTTAGGCCTGGCAGCTAGCGTGGCATTTCAACTGCTAACCATCGTGTTCAGGACCCAATTGTGAGTGCTCAACTTGCCTTGCATCCTGGCAGGCTTGGACCTGCCCAAATCAGAAGAGAAAAAAAAATGTCACTGGCTAAGAGAACAGTAGTTGGTTGATGATAGGTGTGCATTTCTGTCAAGTTTAGGTGGTTTATCCTCCCTCGGACTGCTCACCTCAAGGCCTGAAGGGCAATAGCATGGCCCAGGTTTAGAGCATCAGCCCAGGGAGGAGACCTGCTGTTGGTCTGCTCCTGGCTTTGACTCCAGTTCAAATAAATCATATAAATCTCTGAGTCTGTTTGCCTAGCTATAAACCAGAAGTGATTCTATTCCAAGCAAGTTTAATGCCTTTGCCTTGAACTTGTTAAACATGGAAATGTGTTACTGAGATTGTGAGAGTCTTCACATCTAGTGGATGGATTTCCTCTTCATAGATTGTTAGATTGCACTTGTACCTTTAAAATATGGAGCTAGATTAGAGAATTTCTCAAAGTCCCCTCTTGCCTTAAAATTCCACAAAAGCCATTTGGAATTCTTGATTTTTAATAATCATTCAGTCCAAGCATCCTTTTAATCTTAATTTCATTATTATTATTATTATTATTTGAGACAGAATTTCACTCTTGTTGCCCAAGCTGGAGTATAATGGTGCAATCTCAGCCCACTGCAACCTCTGCCGCCTGGGCTCAAGTGATTCTCCTGCCTCAGCCTCCCAAGTAGCTGGGACTACAGGTGCCCACCACCACACCTGGCTAATTTTTGTATTTTTAGCAGATATGGGGTTTCACCATTTTGGCTGGGCTGGTTCTTGAACTTCTGACCTCGGGTAATTTGCCTGCCTCAGTCTGCCAAAGTGCTAGGATTACAGTCGAGCCATCGTGTCCAGCCTTGATTTTTAAAAATCTCTGCCATGTAACATCACTACCATGTGGTTGCTCAGCCTATTTTGAATTACATAGTATGACAGAAAAAGAAGCCTCCTTGAGAAGAGACTTAGAGAACAGAAATTGTTATCAAAAAGTCAATCTCTGACTGCAGAAATACACCGATACTGAAATACTCCTGTACTCTTTCATTTATTTATATTTCATTCCAATCTTTACTGGGAACCCATCAAACATAGAGACAAACTGAATGGTCATAAGCAAGTCATTTTACTTTTCCTTGTCATCATCCATACAACTGGGTAATCATATCTGCCTTACCTTATGGAATAACTGTGATATTCATAATCAAAATGGCAAAAGCATATGGAGTGCTTTGTAAACTGTAACATGACAAACGGAAGGCACTTTTTAGGTGCTGTGAGAGGACGCAAAGATAAGTAAAACAGGGTGTTCCCTTCCAGGGTCTCTGATGGCATGATGATTCCCCAACCTTTTACATTCTGAAAACTGAGCCTGTTTTGGCATGCTGGAAAAAATCAGTGTTAGCTTTATAGGCCCAACAAATGTGCATGGGTGATTTACTTAGTGTTTTTCTCCCTACAGTCCAAAATGCAGCACGCTGGCTAATATTGGAAGAAGCAACATCTATAAGAATAAAAAAGATTATTTGGATGTAAGGGAGATTCATTTTTTTCTTTGACTTGCTAAATGATATTAAGTACAGATCTAATGGGCACCATCTAATAATATTTCTCTGCCTTATAGATGTATGAGCCAGAAGGAGTGAAAATTTTCAGATGTCCATCTCCTATCTACTTTGCAAACATTCATTTCTTTAGGCAGAAACTTATCGATGCTGTAAGGTTTGGGGTTAATTTTTTTTTTCTTGTAATCTTACTGAATATCTGGGAATGTGTTTGTTCTGTAAGGTCATTGTTGAGGCTGGGTTGTGTCACATATGTTGAGGTGGGATTGCATCAGTGTTTTTTGTCCCATGTCCCAGAGCAGGTGAAACTACCTTATGGGAGTTTGCTAATATGTTGAGAAATAAGCCTCTTCAGATGACATCTACTATAGAAAAATCCTTTTCCCAAACTCTGCTGTAGAGTAAAAAAAAATTTCTATGTTTTGGGCTGCTGGCTTTTAGTAGGTGTCACCCTACAGATTTTCTTTGGGCGTCAACTTTAGAAACAATGAGGAAGCATTTAATATTTGATCAAATCATCAAAGAGATTCAGTATAGCAGCTGTAAATGAATAGTTAATACTATATAACAATAAATACTGAGTGTCCCTGGCAAACTGGAGAGATGATGACAAGGAAGCAGTCTTTTTTTTTTTTTTTTTTTTTTTTTTTTTTTTTTTTTGAGACGGAGTTTCACTCTTATTGCCCAGGCTGGAGTGCAATGGCGCGATCTCGGCTCACCGCAACCTCCGCCTCCTGGGTTCACGCAATTCTCCTGCCTCAGCCTCCTGAATAGCTGGGATTACAGGCATGCGCCACCATGCCCAGCTGATTTTTTGTATTTTTAGTAGAGACGGGGTTTCACTATGTTGACCAGGATGGTCTCGATCTCTTGACCTCGTGATCCACCCACCTCGGCCTCCCAAAGTGCTGGGATTACAGGCGTGAGCCACCGCGCCCGGCCAAGGAAGCAGTCTTGACAGTTAAGACAAAAAGCTCAGTCCTCACCCTTGAAACATGCCTTTTGGTCTACTCTGTACCTTGCATAGAGCTCCTGCCTTAAACTTTAATTATTATTATCCGTTTGATATGCATCGGATATTTTTCTACCCAGTTTTGTTGTTGCTGTTTGCAAAATGAGATCATATTGTATATTTGGTTTTCTATACTGCCCTTTTGAATTACTCTAGTAAACTTCCATCTAACTATATTTTTTGTCAAGGATTTTTTTTTTGAGACAAGGTCTCGCTCTGTCATCTAGGCTGGCATGATCACAGCTCACTGCAACCTCAAACTCCTGGGTTCCAGTGATCCCCCTGCCTCAGTCCCCCAAGTAGATGGAACTACAGGCATGTGCCATGACACCACACTAAATTTTTAAATTTTTGTAAAGACAAAGTCCTGCTTTGCTGCCCAGGCTGACCTTGAACTCCTGGCCTCATGCAATCCTCCCACCTTGGCCTCCCAAAGTGCTAGGATTAGAGGCGTTAGCCACCACACCTGGCCAAGGATTTTTTATTACATAATTTGATCCTCCTCTCTTATTTACCTGGAACTAAATATTACAGCAGTAAGAACTTATTAGGTTGAAAAGGGGAAATAAAGATTTGCCTCAAACATAATACTAAAATTATAAGATAATAACATACAATTACATAAATTTTAATAAAATAAAAATTACATAGAAGCAGAATACTTATGTAGGTGCCACCCATACTCAATAAATAGAAAATAAAAAAAATAAAATCCCCTAAAGTTGTGTGGGTTCCAAACACAAACAGATTCAAATAGAGTTTATGTCCACTCATGGATAATTTATGAATGAATCATGGACTGTGTCATACAAAAGCTTTTGACTGTTGGTAACTGGATATAGGTGGAGCAGACCATGGGTCTGACACAATGTTGTTGCTGATGTTGTTTAAACCACTTTTAAATTTTGTCACAAATATTTTTATTATCTGTCCAAATCCCTCAAATCACTCCAGTTAAAGTTGTTAGAATTATGCTATATAAATAACAGAATATTCAGTACTCTTGTAACACAGCAATGGGTTTCTCAGGTTGGCTTTAATCCACTTCGAATTCTACGCAAGCGCAACAAAGCTTTGAGGAAAATCCGAAAACTGCAGAAGCAAGGCCTGCTACAAGTGACACCAGTAAGCTTCTTGACCACATTTCTATGCGTTATAGCTAAAAGCTCGGTAAAGGATGATTCAAGGTGTTAGTTCCATTCCTTTAAATGAAATGCCAGACCAACAAGGGATTTCATGTGTCAATTAATGTTCTATTTAAAAATGTTTCTGAGGGTCTCCCTAAAATTTTGACTCTCCTGGGAAAAGTACCAAACACAAGTGTCTACAATCTTCTCGTTGTTGTTTTGAGACATTGTCTCGCTCTGTGGCCTAGGCTGGAGTGCAGCGGTATGATCCGATCACAGCTCATTGCAGCCTTGACCTCCCAGACTCAAGGGACCCTCCCACCCCAGCCTCCCAAGTAGCTGAAACTACAAGCACATACGCCACCACGCCTGGCTAATTTTTTTTATTTTTTGCAAAGATAGGGTCTCGCCATGTTGCCCTGGCTGGTCTCAAACTCCTGGGCTCAAGTGATCCACCCACCTCAGTTTCCTAAAGTACTGGGATTACAGGCATGAGCCACCACACCCAGACCAATCCCGTTGTTTGGCTCAACTCTGAATCAGTGCTTCTGAAACTCACTGGCTATCCCTAACATACACAATGCTTTTCTTGGTCACAGTTATCATGCTTGTTATCCTCTCCTGCAGAAAGGATTTATATGCACTGTTTACGCCATAAAAGATTCTGACGAAGAGCTGGACAACAATCAGATAGAAGTACTGGACCAGCCAATCAATACCACAGACCTGCCCTTCCAGATTGACTGGAATGATCTTCCTCTCAACATTGAGGTCCCCAAAATCAGCCTCCACAGCCTCATTCTCGACTTTTCAGCAGTGTCCTTTCTTGATGTTTCTTCAATGAGGGGCCTTAAATCGGTAATTTCTTTGTTCTTAATGGAAACAACCAATCAATGGCTAAAGGTTAAAAAATTGTATTTGTGGGTCGGGAGCAGTGGCTCACACCTGTAATCCCAGCACTTTGGAAGGCCAAGGTGGGTGGATCACCTGAGGTCAGGAGTTCAAGACCAGCCTGGCCAACATGGCAAAACTCCGTCTCTACTAAAAATACAAACATCAGCTGGGCATGGTGGCACACACCTGTAATCCCAGCTACTTGGGAGGCTGAGGCAGGAGAATTGCAGTGGAAGGTGGAGGCTGTAGTGAGCCAAAATCGCACCACTGCACTCCAGCCTGGGTAACAAGAGTGAAACTCCGTCTCAAAAAAAAAAAAAAAAAAACTTAAATTGTATTTGTGGAAGGATGCTCCTTTATGTAACATACATTTAATTAGAAGCAAATTATAATCTTAGAGTTCCATGGAGGGAAAGATGGTGTTCAGTAGACTCTTAAAAAGGGCATTTTCCATGAGACTAAGTACTAGATCGAAGGGAATCAAATCTACAATTCTAATGTATGCTGAATCTGTTGGTGGACAGCTATGCTCACATTCCTTTTAAATTTCAATTCTGTGGTGTTTTCAAATATTTGTGAGCACTGTATCTAAATTATTCTGAAATCAGAGAAGATATGGAAAGGTCCTGGGAAAAAATGTAAGAATGGGTTTTGTTTTGTTTTTCTATCCTCATCCGTTATAAGCTGATGAAGTTTCACTTGGCTATTTTTTTAAATGTCTCAAAAAGAACCCAAAGAGATATATGAAAAAATAAATGTCACATGTGATTTCAAAACATGACTGAAACAATCAGATTGCAGTCTGTTTTATTTCCACAGATTTAGTGCATTTCTAAAATAAATTAGTTTCTAACAGAAATGCAGAAACATTTTATAAAAAGAAAATTTAAGAAACTGCATCTTTCTCTCTTTTTCTTGGGTTTTCACAAAAATCTGCCTAAGTGAGAGCTAACCCAAGATAAGACCTATTAAGCATGGGTGAACTGGATACAAAATTAGAAAATGGAAGATTTTTTTTTTTTAATGTCAGCATCATACAACTCTCAAGTCTACTTGCATTTTCTTTTTTTGCTTTTGGGTTTTGTTTATTTTAGGCTTTGTTTACTTTAGCTTATGTTTCTGCATTTTCACATACACACACACACACACACACACACATTTATTTTTTGGTCCTAGCAATATAACACAAAGGACAGGGCCTCTAATCCTTAGCTAAGTGCCTAGAAGAGGTTCTGAAAGTGTTTATCGATGACAGTAATGATATTAGTGATCATCTAATCTTATCAACAATATAATATAAGCTACTTTTCTTACTTTACATGATCTTACTCATAGCACTGCTGGTATTTGTTCTTAGCCTAGGGACCAGAAAAATGGATAAAGGTTCATTGGTGCTAGATATACCCATTCATCCGTTATTCTTGTGGACAAGAATAATTAGCAACTTATGGTCCATAGGTTCTTTCTTAAAACTTTTATGTAGCAAGAAAGCTCTAGCTGAGGTCATCCCAAAGAAGACACTGTTTTAAAATTAAATCAGTGTTGTTCTTATGAGTTTGAGACAGAATGTTTTCCCATAATACTTCCCTCAAGAATGGTCATTTTTAACTTCTTACTGAGGAGAAGGGCCCCTTTATTTGGGTTTATTTCTGTCATACAGGCTTGTTTTTAACTTTGATATATCTTCACATATTATATCTTTTCAAAATGTTAAAGGTTCTAAAAGCAATATATCACCCGTAAGGTATAATTCTGATTGTTTTCTTTACATTTCTGACAAATGAAACTGTTCCCTAAGGAAGATATACTTTCTTTTTTACAGATTCTGAAAGAATTTATCAGGATCAAGGTAGATGTGTATATTGTTGGAACTGATGGTAAGTTGCTTTAATTTTGTTTTATGTTCTGACAATCACTTCCCTCCCAACTGTCAATCTAGACAGCCTCTCCAAAGAATGAGTATTTTATATGATCAAGATGAAAATCTGATTTGCAGCCAACCTAATAAAAATCCCTATGGAAACAGTATCTTTATATTTTAGTTATGTTGATGTGTAATTAAATGATTTCTACAATTTGGATCCTGATTTCATAGGCAACAAAGGAGGAATATGTTAACCATATTTTACTCTAAACTTCCTGAAAAAGTAGCCTTGTTTTCTGTCTCTCTTCCTCCCTTCCCTTGCACGCTCCAGCCCGTAACAGTCTGGGTTAGCTTCACCTGCTGATGAGGCCATCCTTGCCAAGGTTATCAGTGACGTCCGGATTGTCAGGATTAACTGCCTTTGTCTGGGATGCCTCTGCAGCAGCTTATTTAAGCATCTGCCTCTCTCCCTAGCATTTTCTTTGAAGCTCTCTCCCTCCCTGACCCCGGCAGGACAGTTCTGATTCACTTTCTACCTCTCAAACGGCTCCTCAGGGTCTGACATTGGTTCTTTCCCACTTTTCCAGTCTTCCCCAGGTTTCAACCTTAAACGCTATTCCATAGTTCTAATTCCACAGACTCTTTCTAGTCAATTTCCTACGTATTTATGATTTCATGTATATCTACTTGTTAATGAATCCCCAAACTATACCTCCAGCCCAGACCTTTCTTCTGAGCTGCAGACCGATAGATTCGACTGTCTGGATGTCCCCCAAGCACTTCAGATACATGTTTTTAAAACTACTTATAGGATTCCCCCTCCCAAAAATATTTCTTTCCTATCACAATCACTGCATCACTGCTTTTTTTCCAGATAAAAAAACCTAGTTTTCCAGATAGAAACCCTGAAACCCTCACCAATTTCTCCTCTGCTTCCCTCTAGTGAGTGAGTCATTGGCCTCAAAGGTCCTTTATAGGACCTTTAGGTCCTATAAATATTTCTTCTTAAATCAATCTGTTTGTCTCCATTTCCAGAACCTTAATCTAGACCCTTATCGTTTCTCAACTAGGCCTTCTAGAAGGACTTTCTAACTAGTATCCTGTCCATCCCTATAATCCTCTCCCACCTAATTTTTGGAAAGAAGGCTTTTTCAGGAATTTTTCCAACAATAACTGAAAACATTCTTGCTTCCCCAGGCAGAGCACTGGGTCTTCAGACTGTTTGCATCTACAGAATACACACATGTAACATAATTTTGCAGTTCTGTTTGCATCCCAACTAAACTGTATCTCTTCCAGGGTAGGT